ACCGGCGCCCCCTAGCGGAGCTGAACGGCGCCGCCCCCGCCGAGCCCCGTGGGGCAGCGCGTCCGTGGACACGGGGGGGGGACGACGACGACTTTTTGGGGGGTCCGGGGGGTTTTAGGGGGGTGGTCGCCGAGCACAGGCTTGGCACAGCCTCCCCCAGCCCCCTCCGTGACCCCCCTGCACAGACAGGGACCCCCCCCACCATGGATAGGGACCCCTCCCCACAGATGGGGACACCCCCACACACACGCAGGGGGACACGGGGAAGGGTGACACCCTCCCGAGATGGCTCTCTCCTGGCTGCTGTGCACCGAAGGAGCACATCTGTTGGTCCACAGCCCCAAAAGCCTGCAGCGGGGTGACCACCGATGACCCCCAACCTACCCACCCCCCCCAAATTTCCCTCCACTCCCCACGCGGGAAGGAGAATCCCCCACCAGACCCTGCTGTGAACTAAGGGGAGGGCTTGTCCCCCCCATGCCGGACAGGTAGGGAGCTATGGCCACATCTGGACACCCCAAAAGGCAGCAGGGAGGTGAGGAGTGTCATGGCATGGGGGGGGGTCCCATGGATGGAGCGTGCCCCAGGCTGGAGCAGGAGTGGGCTGAGCTTGTGCCCCCCCAACAACTCCCCACAGCACCCCAGGGCTTGGGCCAGAGGAGGGGACCTGCTGTGACAGTGACAGGAGACACCTGCACCCTGTCCCCAGGGCCCCCAGCCTCCCCTCCCTCCTCCCAGTACCCCCCTGAACTTCTCCTGGGGACCACGGCAGGTTTGGGCTGGAAACCTTTTATTTTATTTTACAAGGCACGTTGTGGCAGCTCAGCCCTCGGGAGAACTCCCGGGGCCAGCAGTGGGACAGTCCCACGGCGTGGGGCAGGAAACAACAGCCCCTTCCCGAATCTTCCACAACAGGAGCGACGGAGCTGCGCGAGGCAAGGGGGAACCCCTGCCCAGCAGGACCCCAAATTTGCTTCAGAAGCAGCGGGGAAAACGGGGCCAAGCCACTGCCCCAAGGGGCCCGGCAAAGGTCCCCGCACCACGGGAGCCGCAGCCTGTGGGCGACCTGGCCGAGCACAGCAGCCCCCCCTCACCGCGACGGCTCTTCAGAACGCGGCGTCGAGCCCCGCTCCTCCTGCTCCTGCCGCCACCGCTCCTGTTCCTCCTCCTCCTCCCGATCCAGGCGCTGCAGCTGCTGCTCCACCTCCTCAGGGATGTTCACCTCCAGCAGGTTCTCCATCCCTGGGCCAGGCTCGTCCCCGATCAGCACCTTTTCCCAGGAAGGGGGAGGAAGGCTCAGGGAGGGGGGACAGGCTGGTGGGAGTCCCCCAGGGCTCTCTGCAAGGAGCCCAGCAGGGGAGCAGAGAGGCAGGACAGAGCCCTCGGAGCAGCTCCACACCCTGGAGACCCATCTGCCTCCCCCCAGGGATCCTCTTCCCCACCTGAATGAGCTTCTCGCAGGCAGCCAGCACGGCAGGCTCCCGTTCCCAGCCGTGCAGCTCCCGCAGGATCAGGTAAGTCCCCTTCTCCCTCACCATGTGCCGGCCGGCCTTGGTGGCTGTGAGCTGCAAAAGAGACAAAAAGTGGCAGTGTGGGCAGGGAGCCCGGCATGGCCTTGAGAGCTGTAAGAGCACCCAGCAAGGGATGATGCACGGCAGGGCTTGGCCGGGTTTTCCGCTGGGCTGATGGTGGCTCTCCGAGTGGGAAATGAAATGCCCCACGGCATGGGGGGGCTGTCACAGAGCTGCTCTGACAGCCCTCCAACGTAGGAATGGGGACGGAGAGCCTGCCCGTGGGGAGAGGGGGACCCCAGCTCGTTGGTCCTTCTCACCCACAGAATCACAGGTGGGAAGGGACACCTGGTCCTCAAGCAGGGCCAGCCAGAGCCAGTGGCCCAGGACCACGGCCAGATGGGCTTTGAGTATCTCCAAGAACAGAGACTTCGCCACCTCCCCGGGCAGCCTGTGCCAGGGCTCTGGTACCCTCACAGTGAAAAATTGTTTCCTCATGTTCAAGTGTCACCTCCTGTGTTCCAGTCTGTGCCCGTGGCCTCTGGTCCTGGCACTGGGTGCCACTGGAAAGAGTCCGGCTCCTCTTCACTCCCTCCCAGCTGGTATTTACAGACATTGCCGAGATCCTCCCGAGTCTTCGTTTCTCCACACTGAGCAGTCCCAGCTCCCTCAGCCTTTCCTCACAGCAGAGATGCTCCAGTCCCTTCAGCATCTTGGTGGCCCTTCCCTGGATCATCTCCACTGCGTCCATATGTCTCTCATACTGGGGAGCCCAGCACTGGACCCAGCACCCCCAGTGTGGCCTCACCAGCGCTGAGCAGATGTCCCTCGTCCTGCTGTGACACTGCTCCTCATGCAGCCCAGGACACCCTTTGCCATAGGAGCATGCTGCTGGCTCAAGTTCAGCGTGGTATTCACTGGGACCCACAGGGCCTTGTCTGCAGAGCTGCCTTCCAGCCCATCGTTCCCCTCCGCATCCTGCTGCCTGAGGTTGTTCCTTCTCCTCAAGCAGCTCCACGAAGTCCTTGTCGGCCCGTTTCTCTAGCCTGGCGAGGTCTCTCTGGATGCCAGCATGACACTCTGGTGTACCAGCCATTCCTCCCAGCTTGGTGTCATCTGCAAATGTGCTGAGGGTACGCTCTGCCCCATCACCCAGATCATTAATGAAGATGTTGAACTGGACTGGACCCCACATTGGTCCCTGCGGCACACCACTGGTCACTGGCCACTGACCAGACTTCGTGCCGTTGATCACTGCCCTCAGGGCCCGTCCGATTTTCAATCCACCTCACTGCCTGCTTGTCCAGCCTAAACATGATTGCTTCTCTGTGAGGATCTCCAGGCAGACAGCGCCTTCTGGGACGGCCCTGAACACCTTTCTACTCCCAGGAGCCCCCGCCTGGGCTCTCGCCCTCAGCCCCACTGCAATTTGCACCAGAAGGACCCACCAGCATGATGGCTTCCAGCAGCATCTTCCGGATGTCAGGTTCTTCCTCTCGCTGCTTGTCCTGCGGCAGGTACTGCAGGTCCACGGGCAGCCCTGGGGGAGAGACAGACTCAGGGGGAAGCACACGGCCAGCAGCCCCCAGACGCCCACCACCCACTCTGACACTCACTTACTTTCCATCTCATCCTCAGGAAATTCCTCAGGGCCTGCTAGAGGCAGGAGGAGGAAGGGCAGAATGTCGACCTCCTCACTCAGCAGCCACTCGTGGTCCTCTGGGGACAGCCTGGGGTCAGGAGCTGCCACAGCCAGGGCAGCAAGCCCAGCCCGGACCCCTGTGGTGGGCTGACCCCAGCCAGCAGCTCAGCCCCCACCCAGCCACTCACCCACTCCTGCCCCAGCAGTGGAACTGGGGAGAGAATGGGGAAGGCAAAAACGAGAAAAACTTGTGGGTCAAGATAAAGTGAAGGGAAAAACCAAAACAAACACAAACCAAAAGCCCCGAGCAATGCAAAGGCACTGATCGCTCAGCCCAGACCGATGCCCAGCCTGTCCCCACGCCATGGCTGCTTCAGCCCCCCCATTTTAGAGCTGACTGTAATGCTGTAAGGTTGGGGACAACCCTCTGGTCTATGGGGGTCAGCCGTCCCGCCTGTATCATCCCCCCCGTAACTTTCTGGCTGGTGACAAACAGAGGCAGCCTTGATGCTGCCTGAGTGCTGCTCAGCGCTGGCTAAACCCAGCCAGCATCACCCACGCTGGCTAAACCCGGCCGGCATTACCAGCCCTGCTTTGGTCACCGGTCTAAAACACAGCACCACACGGGCTGCTATGAAGAAAGTAAACTCCACCCCAGCCAGACCCGGCACCCTCCCAGCAGCGCTGGCAGGCCCCCTCACAGCCCAGGGCGAGGGCAGCATGCCCCGGCAGGTGCCGGCAATCAGTGCCACGGGCCAGGGCAGCGGCTGGGGTCTGCCCGGGGCTCTCACCGTACTCGAAGCAGCAGTTCCTCAGTGCCCCCACGACTCCCCGGCGATGGACAACGGAGTCCTGGTACTGTGTGAAGGGCAGCAGCCGCTGCACCGAGCACCTGCGGGAGAAGAACCGTCACACCGGGCCGGAGAGACACCCCCCCCCCCATACATCCCCCTCCCCAGCCCCGGGCACTACCGTACCGTACCGGGAGCGATCGAGAAGCCCACGACGGCCCTCGGGCAGCTGGCTGAGGTTGCAGAGCAGCGGGCCGAGCTGGGAGGGCGGCCGGGGTTGACCGAGCGCCTGGAGCAGCGGCTCCAGCCCGGGGCCGCCCTCCCGCAGGCCCCGCAGC